TTTTAAAAAAAAAAATTTTTTCGATTTACTGTAAAAAAAAAAAAATTTGACTTACCTTTTTTCCCTTATAGCAAAGTCATATATCACAACTCTCCAAAATTATCTTTTGCCAGCCCTTCGAAATTTTAATGGAACCAATTGGGATCATAGTGGTCACCTTTGGTTTCAATATGATAATACAAGACCATACACCATGAAAATTATAAAGAAGTTTCTTGCTAATAAAAATATTTGGGTTATGGACTGGCCTTCTCAAGTTCAGATCTTAACCCGATTGAAAACCTCTGGCATTATATTAAAGTTCAAGTTCGCGAGATCAAACCTAATAATTTAATAAAGCTTGAAGATTGTGTTTTAAAATGTTGAAATAAAATCGATTCAGCATATTGCAAACAATTGATCAAGAGTATGCCACATCATATTATGGCTTGTATCACAGCTAAAGAGGGTTATAAAATATTAAAAAATATATAATTAGCTATATAGATATCTATAAATCAATAGAACATAAATTTTTTTTTATACCTAATCAGGCCATATATTCAAGTTTTATTTGCATTCAAACGGCTGGCAAAAGATGATCTTGAAAAGTTGTGATATATAACTTTACTATAAGGGAAAAAAGTTAAGTCTAATTTTTTTTTTTTTACAGTAAATTGAAAAAATTTTTTTTATTTAATAAACATTTTATCTTACCTTTAATTGAGATACAAAGAGAAACAAGGTAGCCAACACTGAACCATGAAAAATACCCTCAATGCATATAGCTTGAACTATGGTTAACAGTAGCAGAAAGGTATTCAGCATTCCACTTTTCATGTGGACTATATCAAATATAACATTTACTTCCTTTCTGGAATTGAGTAAACATAGACTCGTCGCTTCAGACTACTTTTTTAAAGTTCTGAATGGTCCAGTCTTTACATACAAGACATCAGGTAAGTTAGTTTTCAATATTCTTTTCCAAAAGGAAGAACTTGGGACAGGTAATATAGCTTCTTAATTGTTCTTCATGCAGGATTCACCGAATAGTTTTTTTAAATATTTTAATTCCCATTTTGGCTATAAAAAGATTGGTTAGTTTTGTAGCAGTAACATGTCTGTTACTCTTTTTGCCAGTAACAAGTTTTTTTAGGGTGGTACAAGCACGCTTATTGAGAAGTTGTGGTTATCCCGATCATCCTGATTATTGTGTTCATGATTCCATGGATACAGTTTCAATAAAACACTTTATAACATTATCCACCACACTTTTTTTTTTTTGCATTTGACATTGGCTGCGATATTACAATAGGTATTTTTTTTTGTAATCATAAATTATGGCTGCTTTTTGTTCAAAAGTTAATTCTTTATTAGTGGTTATGCAAAAATTGAAGTGAAACTTTCAAGTAAATAAAAAAAAATTTTTTTATATAATGATACATTTTTATAAATTGAATATGTTGCACTTATATTGAGTATATTTTTATTAAAAAAATTTAATTAATTTTTAAATTAAATTTTATTTTAAAAAAATAAAAAGTTGTCTATAAACTTTTGTTCACCCTCTGTATAATAGCTAAATACACGGTACCCGGAATCCGGTGATCATTGTGATCGGTAATATATAAAAGTATGATGCCTACGATCATCATTTAATAACACTAATTTTAGGGAATTGTGTCATGGGTCAATCATCGAGGGTTGACTTGTACCTCTGGATGACTAAGTCAACTTAGCTGAGCCGATCAACTTTAATAGCTTCAAGTATACAACGATAATACGTACGTATTTACGATATTCCATTCTTGGAAACAATGGCTACATAAAGATAAATATGTTCTCAAAAACGATGATCAAAATTTAATACTTAATAAAGTGCGGAATCAATGGACTATTCGGTTCATATGTGTTATATAAACTTTTTTTCCTGATTTCTAACATTATATAAAAACCATAAGAGGTTGTTATATAATTATTATATCATAATTCGCGTCACTTCTCTGTCCTTTGACTGAACATGGTAGACTCTTTTCCGGATCTGTCAATGGTGGCTTTTGCCATATCCCATATATTTAGCCTCTTAAACAGTTGTGAAGCCATAGAGTCAAAAAATTACGCAGTAACAAAGGCTATTGATGCTATCACAGAGCAACAAGTTGAATTTCATATCAATGCGTGTAAGTTTATCGGATGGATGAAAACATTAAAACATCATGCCAAAGATATTCAGAATTATGTAGAATTCAAAGATCAAGAAAACACTCTTGAAAACGAGCGTTCAAAACTGACCATACTTTTAGACGATTCTAAGGAGATTAGAGCATATTGCCGAATCTTGAAAAATTCGTTTGATCAGATAAGAGAATCTCTATTAAAGATACACAAAGAACTTTCCACGTATGAATATTCACTTCCTGATAGTGAAATTGAGAGAAAAGCTAAGAAAAAAGAGCTAAAAGATTTGAACAAAATTTTTACAATCAAGAATACGGTGGCAGTTATTCTTTTTTTGGTATCATTTGTGTTTAATACAATCCCAACTATCTTTTATTTAGCATCGTTTGTATTTAATAAGGTACCAAAGTTGGATTATTTTCATCTATTTTCATTTGTATTTTTAGTAGCTGGGATATATGTTTACTATGGGGCAAAGTCAGATAGAAAAATAATCCTTCAGATCGAAGATGAGTTGGACGTAATGAATGAAATATTAGACAATAACCTTGAAAATATTAAGATCTTAAAGAGAACTCTTTATTCGATTATTCGGTGCATTATCGAGTTTGAAGTAATTTGTGAAGTTCAAGAAAATAGAATTTCTTACCTAATTCGAAATTTAGAACTTAACGGAAATCTAGACAATGATAATTCAGTTCATATGACAATCGCGCTAATTAGAATCAAATGGTATGGGGTATGAACACAATGTATAATTACGTACAAGAATATTGTTATTTAACTTTAAAGAGTAGAGCAAGAAATTAATTCGCTTTAATATTAAACCGTAGTTAAACTAGTTCAGCCTGAATGGTCTAACAAATTTTTTAGTTCCACATAGAATTTTTGCAATCACAAAGTTATAGAAAAAAATTGTTTTAAAGCTTTCAATCATCAGATATATTGCCCGTTCAAACAAGAATTTATAAACTTTTATTTGATTATATAATCATATAATCTTTAGAAATGTTAAACTTTATTAAATTTTAAAATCATATTTTGTTTTGATAAAAATCTGCTTTTATCCTTCATTATTTATATACAGTATTACTGTTAGTAATGATTAATATAAAGTGACATGATAACGTCTAGTCTGCAGATACTGTATATTATTAACAGTTTGACAAAACTCGAATGAGTAGCAAATTTCTAAAATTACAAATTTTAGTCTTTATTTTGTTGAGTCTATTTATTATAAGTATTTTCCTACTGAATACAAAAGGATAATTTAAATTAATTTTTAAAATCAGCATAAATTAATAACCGCTTCGAACAATTATTGTTTGTGGCTAGTCTACAAAAGCGATCGAAGTAATTTACCAGCATAGAAAAATCAAGTAATTATATCTGGGAAAGAAATAAATAATCAATATTAGCATAACAATAAATAAATTCAATCTGTCATAAAAAATACACAGTATTTATAGAAGAAATGAAGCTACCACATCTAGCTAAATTATTGGATTGCTATGGGAGCTAGATAATAGCGAGAGATTATGCAATACCGATTATTGTACTGTACTATGTAACGAATTTATAAGTAGCATTTAGGACGAATCATGTGCCCCACACCGTCAGAAGTGTGATAATCGATAGATGTGAGATCTTTATGCCATTAGCTGCATAATAATGCAATACATGCTTACAGCTCACATAATAGGTTTAATAATGACTGCGTAAATCTCAAACTATGATGTTACCAATTACCGAAAGTAATCGGTTTATATCAGTACGTATACTAATATTTATATCATGCGTCTTCTGCATTAAAAAAGTTCTCCAAAGTCCAAAAGGTAAAAAAAGAATAAAACATTTAAAGCGCCAAAAATATCAAAATGTACTATAATATTTATTGTGTAACTAACGTATTGTATGCTTACTTTAATTGTGGTTTTCTACAATATAGTATATACCATTTACTTAAATAATCTACAGTATATATGTAACCAAATGTATTTCTTATTTATATTGAACTGACTGACACTCTTCATAGAAAACTTTTATTTTTTTCATTATGAAAATTTACAAACCAATCCTATTATTTATTGCTAATTTTAGATAGTGTATATTAAAAAATAATTATATAGCACGTGAGTCTATTGTGTTTTTAGAAAAATAAAATTATTTAGCTCTTATTAATATTGCAAATGATTAAATGGATGGTTTAAATTAAAAACTCATGTAAATAAATAATTTGATTTTTATTTAAAAATATTCTTTAAACATTTAAACTATATTTTTTTATGTTTAAAGTAAATTTGTTTATAAATTTTATTTAGTAATACGGAGAAATAAACATAATATAGTAATGTTATATACCTTATTCATTAAATAGTAGAGCTAACGCATAAGATAAGATAATGCATAATATGTTAAGTTTATGTACATACAGTATAGGGTTAATAATTAATATTAAAACAGGATATGCAAAAACTTAACCATGTTCAATATTATAATACTTGAAATTAATTATTAATAAAGTGAAATTTTTTAGACATCTGTTAGTTGATTTTTGTAAAATTCATAAAATTTGATAATGAAAATGCTTCATTGTATACACACATTTTTTAGTGAATTAATAAATATATGATCATAAACTAAGTTATATAATATATTGTAGTAGGTCTTATACTTTTATTAAATAGACATTATAATTAAATACAATATTTTGACTTAGCTTAGTCACGTAAATATAATTTTTATTTTATTCACGCAATATATTTTTATTATATATAAACTGAACAAAAGATACAAACAGTTAAATAAAATATAAATACAAACGTAAACGAAAGTATAATAAGTACAGATGGTATAAATAGAATAATCATGCTATAGAATTAATCTTGAATTAAATTGAAAGATCAAATCAATTTTTTTTAATTATAATGTAAGCAATAATAAGTTGAACTTACAATAAGTGTAGAGTTATGGTAGATGCTGCGAAGGTGCGCAACGGCACATATACAGTATAAAGATATGCACAATTCGATAGCATGTAAGGCAGAGATCGGCATTCACGTTTATATTAAAAATAAATTCCAAAGTTAAAATAAACTCTTGCTTTGTTTTCACATGTGCGCAAAAAACTTGTACTGCGCGACTAGTCAAAAGACCAGATTTTTGCCTGAGGAAATTGACATTGATGGTGAATTTTAAAATATAAGCTGGTCAAATCGGAATGCCTTTATAGCGAAAGCAAAGCTTTCTTCATTGGTCCTTAACCGAGATAACACGAATAACTACTCTGGATTTGTCGACAGAATTTCAGATTGCACTTGCACAGATACATATCTATGAGAACTAATAATAGATAAAATGGAAAAAATCTTTATTATAATTTGTAATTATTTTATCATATCGTTATAATAGATGGAAAAGCGATACTGTAGTAATGTATACCGTATGTATGATTCCTATCCACATAATGAACAAATAAAAAAGGAAAAATTAAAATCCACAGAATCATACGATCAAATTCATTCATTTCTGTTGTAGATCAGGAAAATCTTTTAGGAATTAATATTTAATTTCGAAAACTGTTTTCCACTAAACTTAATCGGTACGATAATATACTATATTCACGGAGACATTGATATGCAGCGCGAAGAAGGGCCATCAGCTGTCCTATACATATTAAACAAACAACGAAGATTTTATATGAATATTATCAATCAGCGAGCTTCATTATTATGAATGCTAAAAACAAACAAATAAAAAAGGATAATTACGCCTTAATCCCGTTTTTCTTTTCCTTGAAATTGCAGCATAAAGAAATTCTGGTCGGAGTGAGTGACGACTCACCGGTTAGCCCATAGTCCTAAAAATTAGAATCTAATATTACATAATTACAAACACTGGCGTAATATTATTTACTTACGGAATTCATTACACCTTTTTGATCGATTTTTAAACATGCATAATGTAAATTCAATTTTCTTTTTCTTTTAACATTCATCAGGTTCATCATGAAAAATACATATATAACATACGGTATTGTCCTTTTTTCTAATCTTAAATGAACTTCAATATGTGAACTCATATAAGTTTAATTTTCTTAATTTTATTCTTTATTTCGAAAACTTTTGGTTTTACGCCTCAGCCAAGAATTGGCCAAACACAAAATCTAGTCGGCAACAATGTCTATTACATTGGCGGGAATAATCGTGCTTCCAATTATTCAAACGAAATATTTATTCTAAACCTTTCTAATCCATTCTCGACAAATAGTCCATCATGGGTATCTTTAAATGGAGCAAATCTTCCAATTTCTCCTTCCTTTTCTACCTCAGTTGTTAGCCCTCTTGATAACATAACTATTTATTTGATCGGCGGTTTCATGAGAAATCCGATTACGGGTCAGCCAGATTTTAACAATACTGTATATACATTTAATTCCAATAATGCGAAATGGGATACACCTGGTTTAAATGGTGAAGCGCCACGCAAGCGACAAGAAATGAATGCTGTTGTAGATAACAATGGAAATGCTTATGTTTTTGGTGGAGCTGCGGTTGATAATAATAACGCTGTTTCTAAAGGAGATGAGATTACTAATTCTACCGCTTTGAATGCCGTTTATTATAATGATATGAAAATTCTAAATATTAGTGCAAATGCCTGGTCAACCATTCAACCAGATTCTAGCTTCCCACTTCCACGAATAGATTATACTGCCACGCTTTTAGATAATGGTGTAATTGTCTATATTGGCGGAAGAGAATTTGTCAATAATTCAACCCTCAGGATGGTTGACTTAAGCCAGGTAATACTTAAAATAAAATTTATTAATAAATCTGAAGTATTATCTATTTTATTAATATGTTCTGTAATTGTAATTAGCTAAAACTTTTTGATACAAAAAATTTAAGTTGGTCTTCGATGGTGAGCATTGTAACGCAATACGTAGATAAAAACATTTAGTTCTCATACTAAAACATATTTAATACAGGTCGTACCTGGTGTTAGTTCAACTAAACGTGATATTAATACTCTACAGGCGCGTCTGCATCATACAGCCATACTCAGTGGGTATATTTATATTTGAAAAAATGTTTTTTAGACCAGCTCTAAAAATGTTGACTTTAACTTTAAAAGCAAAAAAGGGTCAAATAATTATTTACGGCGGTGAAGATTTAAATTCCACTATAGTCGAACCTAACCTTGTTGTGTTGGATACAACCGGGAAAACATTTAATTGGAATATTCCATCTATTTCCACCGGTCCATATGATCCACCACCTTTATCAGAGCATTCGGCTCTTTATATGGAGATACCATGATTATTGTTTTTGGTAAAAAATATAACATAAATAAAAAAATTAAGTTGTTAATTTATAATAACCACTAAGCTAAATGCATTGTTTAATTAGGTTATGTCACAAATAAAGAAGGAGTTACTTCGAATCTAAATAATAACTCATATATTCTGGATACTAAGAACTACACTTGGGTCGGTTCATTTGTACCTTCCAATAATTCATCTTCGTCTACTACTACATTCTCATCAGTAATGTCAACTCTGTCTGAGCCATCTGCCATTACAACATCGACTCCATCTGCGGCGCCTACTGTCCCATTAACGACATCAACATCGCTTGAGGCACCTATTGTGACAAACACACCAATTCCGCCTCAAGAAACGACTACCCCTATTGTGACAAACACACCAATTCCGCCTCAAGAAACGACTACCCCTATTGTGACAAACACAGCAACTCGACCTATTACTCAAGAAACGACAACAACTCGACCTATTATTCAAGAAACAACAACCCGACCTATTGTGACAAACACAACAACTCGACCTATTACTCAAGAAACGACAACAACTCAACCTATTATTCAAGGAACAAAAACAGTTGAACCTATTTACACAAGTACTCAACCTATTACTCAAGAAACAACAACTCGACCTATTGTGACAAACACGACAACTCGACCTATAACTCAAGAAACGACAACAACTCAACCTATTATTCAAGGAACAAAAACAGTTCAACCTATTATGACAAACACAACAACTCGACCTATTACTCAAGAAACAACAACAACTCGACCTATTGTAACAAACACAACAACTCGACCTATTACTCAAGAAACAACAACAACTCGACCCGTTATTCAAGAAACAACAACTCGACCTATTGTAACAAACACAACAACTCGACCTATTACTCAAGAAACAACAACAACTCGACCTATTGTGACAACCACAACAACTCGACCTATTGTGACAACCACAACAACTCAACCTATTGTGACAACCACAACAACTCGACCTATTATGACAACCACAACTCGACCTATTGTGACAAGCGAGACGGTTGGTGTGTTTTAATACGACAGGAAATAGCAACATCATAATTAACAACATTAAATCCATCGGAATTATCTACTGTTATAATACAGAAAACATTAACAACAACTTGTATTTCGGTAATTATTGGTAGAGTACTAGCAACCAAAATTAATGATTAGTTCTATTGCTACGTTTTATTTTTTTGCACTTCTTTTTTCTCTGGAATTTTCGTTTATTCTGTAAAAAGACTGCGACCATTTGTTTCGAATATTCAAACTATTTATCAACTTTTATTACTTTGTTATATATATATATATTTGTACTGCAAATGTAGAATGCTTGGATCTTGATACTTAATGTACTGTATATTTACGTATATTAATTAGATCGCGTTAACTTGATATAATATAAGAGTAAAAATAAAATCTAAATTTTTGTGGTCTAAACGAAATAAATATAATACTGTATTTATGTGATTTACAAAATAAATTTTACTTTCTTTCACAAAGTTGACAATTAGTACGTTAAATTTCCTTGAATTATTTTTATACTTAAGTATCTCAATATACTTATATTTTAAAATAACATGGAAAAAAGAGTATAATAAATTCCTGCTTTATGCAATTTTAGAAACAAAAAAAAGTAACAATAACAAAAATAATTTTTATTATTGTCGGTAGAATGCGTGATGAGATAGCATGCTACATATTATTGTACCTTGATAGGAAAAATATAATATTCATTGGAAAAATAACCACCACTCGTATTTATATGCTTTTTTCTTTTCAATTTATTTACACCAGAAGCATTATGTGTATTAAGTCATAATTTATTTATTTCGCAAAGTTTAAGTTGAATAATAATCAAAGCATCAAGAAAACATTTAGAACCTTTTATTTAGATAAAGACAACTGATGCAGTGGAATGGGACCTCTGGTCAAAGTCTACTCAAGTTTGGGAGTCTTGTTTATCCTTCAGTTGCATGGGGAAAGGCCTGTGGTGGTACACTTTGGTTCTTTGGTTCTCTTGCAACCCAAACCCCTTTTTTATCATAAAAACCATCCTCATATATACCATCATAATTACTATGTTCATAAACACCCTCCAAAAAACACATTCAAACAAAGTTGTAGGTTCTAATATTTGTTTCAATACAACCTTCACACACTTCTCTATCCTGGTGTCACTTACTGCGCCACTCAAAAAAATCCTCAATTTTTTTTGGCATCAAAAACTGAAAT